GCACCGGCCCCGCCCGCCTGCAGCTCTGGGTTCGGTTTGCGAAAGTAACGGGGGTGAAGACAAGCAAACCGAGAGACCCCCAGCGCCATTCGGGGCTGCCGAGGGGTGTCCGGGAAGGAGCCGGTTCCGGGAGGCGGGGCTAGAATTCCGGCCCCGCCTTAGTCACTTCTGACCTCTTGTGCGTCAGCTTCCTTACCAATAAAACAGCCTAATAATACCTCCCGGAGCGTGGAGCGTATTTCACAGGGCTGTGAGAATCAACCTATGCGCGAGGACACCTTTTAAATTGCAGCACACACACACACATCATCATCATCATAATCATCATCATAAATTGCAGTACACATGTGGCAGTTGACTTTCTCTGGCCCCTTCTGATTATTAACAATTAATATGCTTCCATATGTGGGGTTTTTTTTAGATGTAATACCAATGTTTTGTGAACATTTTTTTTCTCTTAAACCTGATTTCACATGCATTTAGTTACATAGTATTCCAATGGAGTGTATACCGTTCATTTAATACATTTTAAATACTTACAATGAGCCAGGTACGAAGAATTAGATTCAGGCGGAGGAAAAGAGTGAGGAAATAAAATGGAGTCGCTATGTCAAGCTGCTAAATTATAAAAATCAAGTAAGCTAAGGCAAAGGAAGCAATTTTCTTCTTGCTTTAACTAGCCTGGGAACTTAACCTTTGGCATTTTTCAGTTGTGCAGCAGTGCCTGGAAATACCCAAATTCCACAAACCTTTGAAGGGCTTAAGAATGTTCATGTGCGGCCGGACCGGGGAGCATCGACCCAGGAACCAAGCGGTCATTGGTTCAATTCCTGTCAGGGCATATGCTTGGGTGGCAAGCTCAATTCCCAATAGGAGGCAACCAGTTGTGTCTCTCTCACGTCGATGTTTCCCTTTCTCTCTTTCCCACCCTTCTTTCTACTCTCTCTAAAAATCAATGGAAAAATATATGCTCAGATGAGGATTAACAACAACAGAAAAAGAATGGATAGTATTTCTGAGTGACAGAGATTGGGGGTGGGGAGGTGGGGATGAGGAGAAGCATTTTCCACCAGGACCTAACAACATGAACTAAAGTATTAAGGTGAGAAAATGCATATTGAGGAGACAGTAAGTATTTTATTTGGCTGGACCTAGGTTTTATCTAGAAGAATAACAGTAATGAGACCAGACCCTTGGTTTCAGCCACATTGTGGAAGGCCTTTATAAATGCCAAGAGTGAAGATAGATCTGGCAATAGCATTGGAAACCGACTGGACAGGGGAGAGTTGTAACAGAGAATCCCGTTAGAAGGATGTTGGAATAATCCAGTGCTATGGTCAGAATGTGTCCCCACAAAATTCATATGTGGAAATCCTAACTCCTAATGTGGTAATATTTAGAGGTGGGCCTTTGATCCAGTCCTCATGAATAGGATTAGTGACCTTATAATAAAAAAAAGACCCTAGGGAGATCCCTGCCAGATCCCTGCCCCTGTCCCCTTTTGAGGACACTGACAAGTTAGCAAGTCTGCATCCTGTAGGAGGGCTTCGACCATGCTGCACTCTGCTCTTAGACTCCCAGCCTTCAGAACTGTGAGAAATAAATTTCTGTCCTTTATGTGCCACTCAGTCTGTCATACTTTGTCTTAGTAGCTTGAACAGACTAAGCCATCCAGGTAGTGAGAGGAAAATGGAGGAAGAAGGAAGACGGGAGAATATGACACTGAAATTAGAAAAGAAGAATCAGATGTAAACTTGTAAACACAGAACCTACAGAATTTGACAGCTGACTGGGAGGAAAATAGTTAAAAGCTAATAATAGCCCAGCTGCGGTGGCTCAGTGGTTGAGCATCAACCTATGAACCAGGAGGTCATGGTTCGATTCCCAGTCAGGATTCAGCAAACTAGATTTTATTTTCCTGGGTAGCTCAATTGGTTAGAGATCCCAGTACATCATGGTTGCAGGTTTGATCCCCAATCAGAGCACATACAAAAAAAATCAACCAATAAATGCATAAATAAATGGGACAACAAAAATCAATATCTGTCTCTCTAAAAATCAATAAAATAAGTAAAAATGAAAAATATTAAAATGTACTCTATTTGACCTGATATTTCTACATGGATAGCTAATCCTAAGAAAAAATATGGATGTTTACAGAGATTTACCAATAAGTAAGGTTATTAAAGCAAAGTTTATAATAGGAGAAAACTAGAAACTACAGTAAATTGTCCACAATATGTCTTAAAAATAGAGTGGCACAGCCATATAAGGGAATAACATGCAGTCATCTTAAGTAATATTGAAGAAAAATAGCATGTTAACATGTTAATGAGTATTTCCTAAAACTAGAGTATAGTGCATTTTACACACACACACACAAACACACCCACACACGCACAGAAAAAAAAAAGGCCTAGAAGCATATATACCAAACTATTAATTATGGTTATCTTGGGATAGTGAGATTATATGAGATTATGGTTATTTATGTTCGCTTTGCTTATCCACATTTTTGAGTTTTCAGTAATGACCATGTAAAGAAAAAAATAACCATTTTTTTTTTTGAGTTAGCAACATTTTCTATAGGGGGCATTAAATACTTCAGGCTTTCTGGGCCAGACTGTTTTATTGCAACTATGCAACTCTACCGTTACACAAAAGAATGAGGTGGCAGGGTTCCAAAAAAATCTTTATAAACATGAAATTGGAAGTTCATGTATTATGAAATGTTTTTCTTTTGACTTATTCAACCATGTAAAAGCTGTTCTTAGCTTGAAGGCTGTACAAAATAGGCAACAGGTGGATTTGGGGGCCATATTTTGCTAATCCCTGTTTGAAAATAACTATTCTTTTTCTTGCACAACTCATGTTCCTTCAGTGCTGAATTATCTTGATTTTTCTGTTTGGTTTTCCAAGTTCTTATCACTAACTCAAACTTGTTACCAGTTGTCGAAACCTCTAGTTGGTACTTTTAAACCCTTCAAATATTGTGTCATTTTTATTTCTCAGAAGTGGCCTCTTTTCAGAGTTTTCTGACTTCTCACCTGGCCTGTTTGTTCACCATGTCTGCTACACAGTTGTTATCCTGGTATCTGCTTTCACTCTGTGCCTAGGAATTCCTTTTGCCTTTCAGCTCTGTTAATAATACATTGTTTTATGTATTTCTTGTACTGAATTCACCTGCAGTTTTATTACAAGTTTTGTTTAACCTTTTCTCCAAAGAGCCTAGATAGAATACATAGATGGCTGACAGGCTTCACTGACAGGTGCTCAAACCATTATAGATCCATCTTGGGTCCTCTTTTCAAAATTTACTCCGATCCTGGACAAATACATTTGTTCATGTTTATTTAATGTTCACCAAATCACTGAACCCCAGGATTGATGCAGTCTACTGCAAACTGGGTCCTATAACTCCTTCTGTTACAGGATAATGAGAAGCTAGGGAAATTCCAGGGCAAGAGGAATAGGGAAACTGAGACAAGAAAATTAAACAAGATCAAGATCTTATCTTTTCCAACCAAGGATGCTTGAGAACAAATGACTAATGCCTCTCCTCCCTAACCAAAGAATGCAGGAAAGAAGGGGGAGTTTTAATGCCTCTTCTCCCCTAACCACAGAATACACAGTGTAGATCACCCTGGAACTGCTAAGGCAGGAGAGGGCAGGGGGAAAGAAAGGAGAGATTTATCTCAAAGAAGTCAGTGTTTTGGGGAAGGAGGAGAGAAGAGGGAATGTTCATCACATTGTTTAAACTGAGAAGTCAGCAGTCTTGGGGCTTGTTAAAAGATAAAATTGCCAAATTCTTCTCATAAATTCTGGGAAAGCCATAAAAAAGTAAAAGGGAAACCTTAATCTGTACCAAGATATTCAGCAGAGAAATTTAAAAACCTATAGACAGAAGGGAGTATAACCCCTTAAATCTCCACCAGGCTCACTTCTCAGACTAGCTGGGAAGTCCGTCTGTGCTTTCATAAGCCAGAAGTATGATAGATTTGCTTGCCTTGCTTCTTTAATAAATTTAGTAAATTTGCTTTACTACAACGCAATCAGCTAGGGTCACTCTTTGAATTCCTTCCTATGAGACAGACATGAACCGAGGAGGGGACAGCCCTGTCCCTTCAACTCAGGGGGCTGTCTGCTATCTTTGTTGGTGTTTCTGGTGCCTATAGCACTTCCACAGACATGGTGAAAGAATCCACTTTGTCCCTCTGCAAACTAGATTTTATTCTCCTGGTAGGTTGAACTACTCCCTGAATGTCTAAACAAAGTTCCTTCCATTGAACATTCAGTGTCATTCCTTTTTAGTTGTATGTATCTTGATTCACATCCTGACTCTTTCCTCCTACTTGTGTTATCTTTGGCAAGTTCTTTATCTGTCTAACCCTCTTTTTCTACACCCTTTCCCCCTCCACCAGAGCTGAAATGCTGTGGTTGATCACCTGCAAATGTTACCTGTTCAAAGTTTGTGGGCCAATATTCAATACATCGAAATTTAGAGTAAGGAAAGGTTTATTGATCAAGAAGGCCCAACTCAAGCAGATGGGGGTGCCTTATAGCTTTTGAAAATCCATCTTAAGAAAGCCCAGAATTCAAGCATCTTTTATATCAAGGGAAAGGAGGAGAGTAAGGCAAAAGTGGGTGGGGGTTGTAGACAGCTAGGCGATGGCAGGGATCCAAGGAAGAGGGAAATTTCTAAATCTCTGTTTCCAATTGGTACATTAATCCTGCCCCCCCCCCGACACACACACACACACAAACACACACGCACACGCACACACACACACACGCGCGCGCACACGCACACACTCACGCACACACACGCACACGTGCACACACGCACACACACGCACACACACGCACACACACATGCACACACACACGCGCGCACACACACGGCAGACAGCACAGCTGGGAGAGGATTGCACATCTGTTCTTCAGAGCCGCTGCTCTCCTGTGAGGGGCCGCGTCGCCTTCTCCGGCGTGGCTGTGCCCACAGTGCCGGGCCCTGGGCA